TGTCTTCTGATGAATATCCTTGTAGTAGCAGCTTCTCTGTTGTTATCTGTAAGTGAATAAACATTTGGGTTTTTGTATGAGGGCCTCTTTATATAAACACCATTAACACCACCATTGAAACAACCCCCTTTACTGCCACCAATACAACCACCATTAGTACCACCATTAGTACCACCGTTTGTACCACCGTTGGTACCACCATTAGTACCACCATTAGTACCTCCATTGATACCACCATTGGTACTACCATTACAACCCCCCTTACTGCCACCAATACAACCACCATTAACACCACCATTAACACCACCATTAGTACCACCATTAGTACCACCATTAATACCCCCATTAATACCCCCATTAGTACCACCATTAGTACCACCATTGGTACCACCATTACAACCCCCTTTAGAACCACCAATACAACCCCCATTGGTACCACCATTAATACCTCCATTGGTACCACCATTGGTACCACCATTGGTACCCCCATTAGTACCACCATTTGTACCACCATTAGTACCACCATTGGTACTACCATTACAACCTCCTTTAATGCCACCAATACAACCACCATTTGTACCACCATTAACACCACCATTAACACCACCATTAATACCACCGTTAGTACCACCGTTAGTACCACCATTTGTACCACCATTGGTACCGCCATTACAACCCCCCTTAATACCACCAATACAACCACCATTAGTACCGCCGTTAGTACCACCGTTAGTACCACCATTAGTACCACCATTGATACCACCATTAGTACCCCCATTAATACTGCCATTTGTACCACCATTAGTACCACCATTACAACCCCCTTTAATACCACCAATACAACCACCATTAGTACCGCCGTTAGTACCACCATTAGTACCACCGTTAGTACCACCGTTAGTACCTCCATTGGTACCGCCATTGGTACCCCCGTTGGTACCACCATTACAACCCCCATTAGTACCTCCATTGCAACCCCCATTGGTACCACCATTAGTACCACCATTACAACCCCCGTTAGTACCACCATTACAACCCCCGTTAGTACCACCATTAGTACCACCATTAACACCACCATTGATACCTCCATTAACACCACCATTACACCCCCCATTAGTACCACCATTACACCCCCCGTTAGTACCACCATTAACACCATTACAACCACCATTAGTACCACCATTACACCCCCCGTTAGTACCACCATTAACACCACCATTAACACCACCATTACAACCCCCATTAGTACCACCATTGCAGCAACCACCAGAGCCACCACCACAGCATGTATTACAGCAGGGATTGCAGCAAGGATAGCAGCATATATTTCCGTTTCCTGTATTTGGTTTATACTGAGGAGGACAATTTGTTTGTCCGTTTTGGGGTGTATGTACACCGTTTCCAGGCCAATTATTATCCTGATCATAATTAGGTTCTCCTCCGTTTCCGTTTCCGTTTTCTTGGTTGTTATCTTCGGGTGTATCTTCACCT